AGGGATGTCAGACGTCGAGGAGTTATGGTCGAAGGTCACGAAGTTGAGAGAGCTTGGTTTTGGCTCGAAGTGACCGAAAACCCGACCTTAGCCAACCTCCTTTTCTGAGGACTATATTAAAGGACATCAGCCTAAGAAAAGTACACCTTCTAGGGTCCAGGTAAACCCTAAACCCTCGAACCTGAACAACCGACGGCAATAGGTTTTGGCTTCAACTTTGGGGGCAAGGTCGCGGTATCCACAGAACAGCTGCGTGAAGCCTTGACCTCGAAAAAGGACACCTTACATTGTATTGGATTCTAACTCGAGTCTACTCTCCTATGCTATACTAAAGCTATGCAATACCTTACGGTACGGTGCTAATTATTAATCATCGCACTGATGTTTTGTTGTATATATTTGTACACACACACACACTCACTTGACCATGTTACGTTTTGGTATGTTGCAATGTATGATAGCGTACTAAGATGTAATACAGCATGCCTGAGTATGACATGAAGCTTCTCGGCTCTAGCTGTGTTTGTTCCGGGGGTGGTTGTCTTGGTGTATTCAAGAGTCTTCAGAACGAGCCATCTTTCGATCGGGCGCGGCGAGCGCCTTTCTTTCCTCTCTGCATCACATGAAAGCTATGCTACACATTTTACTTAACCTATTTCACTTCACTTCACTTCACTTCACTTCACTTTCTTTTACCTTACTTTACTTTCCTTTCCTTTACTTTACTCCACTTTACTTTACTTTGCTTTACTTCTACTTTACTGTGTCTTATTAAAGTATCGTAAAGTATGTTGCAATAGTATGCCATAGCAGATAAGATAAGCATACTCTGACAAGACATTCTTTTGTTGCCTGTCTTTCGTTGTATTTGATATTAGATTTCGCTTTAGGACATTTCTGTCATTTTACATGTTTATGTTGACATGTCTCTTAAAACTGCCAGTTCACCAAGCACCTCAAAGCCGACCCATTTCTACTCCAAGGTGCTCTCTGTAACCATCTTAAAATCAGGGCACCCTTTTTTGGGTTGGTTACTTTATAAGGGAACCCGTAACCCAAAAAAGGGTAAAGAGTACCACTGGGCTACCAAGAGTATAGGCTTCAGGCTTGACAGTTTGGAGTCTGGGGCTTAGCGTGTAGGGGTTCTACATGCCTCAACCAAGGTTTCAACTACTTGAACGATCGTTGCCTCACTTGCGGCCGCGTTCCGCGGCTGCTGAGAACCCTTATAGAACCCTTCTGAACTACTGATTTTCGCAGGACGTTTTTGGCCTTGTAAAAGCCCCTAAACCCTAAACCCTAAACCCTAAACCCTATAAACCCTAAACCCTTATGGCGGCCAAGCTGCCGAAGGTCACACCCAGGGGGTCTCCCTCCGGTCGACCCCAGAGCCCAAAGTCCTTGGTGGAAGCGTGCTAAGGGTTTAGGGTTTATAGAAATTGTATAGGGTTTGGGTCCCAAAAACTCCTTTGGCACCGGCCAACCTTCTCTTCATAGATTGAGATAAAAAGGTTGGCCGATAGTCACTAAACTCATGGGTCAGCTTCTTTTCACCGGCCAACCTTTTGCTCTTGTTTTAGTACAGCAAGGTTGGCCGGTGCCAAAAACGCGCTTTTTCACCGGCCAACCTGTTCTCTTTAAAAAAAAGAGCAAAAGGTTGGCCGGTGAAAGTAGCTGACGCAAGGTTGGTCGGTGAAAAAAACGTGCTTTTTCACCGGCCAACCCACCCTGCTCTCTTCAAAAAGAGCAAAAAAGGTTGGCCGGTCTAGTTTGAGCCTGCCGGAGCCTATTTTGGGGTTTCCCGGCTCCCCGCTCAATGTTGCGCTGCTTAATTTGGGTTCAATTTGACTTAATTTGGGGGCTGGGGTAGGGTTCTGGGGGGCTGGGGGGCTGGGGGCTGGGGGGCTTGGGGGGCTGGGAGCTGGAGGCTGGGGCTGCGCTTTGGGATAGACACATGCTTTCGAGAAATCTACTCTGAATACTCAAACTCTGCTTGTCAGCTGTTTAGACAAATAAGTTGGGAAATTCAGAATGATACCACATACAATTTCTATTTATTTTGTCTTGAGGGTTTAGGGTTTAGGGTTTAGGGTTTAGGGTTTAGGGTTTAGGGTTTAGGGTTTAGGGTTTAGGGTTTAGGGTTTAGGGTTTAGGGTTTAGGGTTTAGGGTTTAGGGGTGAGGGTTTAGGGGTTAGGGGTTAGGGTTTAGGGTTTAGGGTTTAGGGTTTAGGGTTTAGGGTTTAGGGTTTAGGGTTTAGGGTTTAGGGTTTAGGGTTTGGGGCTTAGGGTTTGGGGTTCAGGGTTTAGGGTTTGAATTTGGGGTTTAGGGTTGCTTTGGGATTTAAGGCTTGAAGATTGCTGGCGTTGATCCTCCGCCTCCTCTGCCTGCTGCCACGAAAACAAGCACCTTCATGGCACCACCACAACGGCTACAGCACCATCGGCGGTAGCATGAAGCATTACGGTTCTTCTCCTGGTCCGCTTGCTCAGCGTCGTCATTATCCTCACCATCAAATGATCGACATCACGAACAAGGATCATGGTCTTTGTCGCAATGGCAAGATTTGAAGCGCTTTCCTAAGCCCGAAAGCCTGACCCGTTCAAGTCTTACGCAAAGTCTTCGGGGTCGGGGACCAGAGATTAAGATGGTCATAACAACAGTGAAGAGTGTGCCATACCCTAAAACCCTAAACCCTAAACCCTTCCAGGGATTGTGTAGGGCGGCTACATGTTCAAATTCATTCTGTTGCAACGGGAGCGTGCTGGTTGTACAAAACTGTTAGATTGGTCGGGGGCTCATTTTTGCGGCCGACGGTAATGCGGGGGCCTTAAGCTTTAGAATAGGGTTCTGGGGCCCATTCTACTATACTTATAATGAGGAACCCTAAGAATTATTGTGGAAATTATTTAGGCTTCTATAGTACCGAAGTTTGCTCTCCAACTTCCTTGCGCACCGTTCCTAGGAAGAAGAAGGCAGGCAGCACATGATGAAACCCCACTTTTGCCAAATCCTAAGTCCTAAACCCTAAACCCCAAACTCTAAATCATAAACCCTGAGCCCTAAACCTAAACCCTAAACCCTAAACCCTCAACCCTAAACCCTCCGTCCCAGCTCGTCTCAGAGGCTCCGTGCGAGGCCCGGGATGCAACGTGCCCTGCTTGTGGAAGATTTGGCTCGTCTTGCCGCCGCTGTGTGAGATGGAGAAGTGTGCCTGATATATATATATATATATATATATGTATCTATATATATATATACACTTGATATATATATATATATATATAGTTGTACATGTATATATATAGTCTTATATGTTGTTATATATATAGTTATATATATATATAGTTATATATATATATATGTAGTTATATGTGTATATATATAGTTATAAATATTATAGTTATATATATAGTTATATAGTTATATATATATATATATGTATATCGTAACCTGTGAAACCGTATAAAATGGTTGAGGGCTTCGGGTTTTGACCCGAAGCCCTCAAATTTCTAAACTCGTCGAGCACTGAACTCAACACCCAAGCCAACAACTCCAGGCCAACGGCTGAGGCTGACCCCGAAAAGCTGCCGAATCCTTCCCGCCCACTACTCCGAAACCCCAAACGTCGTACACTTTAGCGTTCTGCCCGAATTAGACCCTAAACCCTAAACCCTAATTACTAAACCCTAAACCCTAAACCCTAAACCCTAAACCCTAAACCCTAAACCCTAAACCCTAAACCCTAAACCCTAAAATCCCTCATCCCTACAGCTCTTCAGGGGATCTTTCGGGTTCTGGAGGGAGAAGGGCGCCTCATTCACCTCACCCATTCGAAAGTTCCCAAACTGGATAAAGCGATCTCCGAAGGCCAGTCGTTGGGAGCTGTGAACCTCCTCCGGCGGAGGGGTTTAGGGTTTAGGATTTAGGGTTTAGGGTTTAGGGTTTAGGGTTTAGGGTTTAGGGTTTAGGGTTTAGGGTTTGAGGATTTCCTGTGGCAGAGTAGACCCAGGGCTCGGAACTTGGGACACTTTTCAGGTCTTTAGAGCGAGGGCGTGTTTAAGGCTTTCAGTCAAGATCTCTATGGACTCTATGGCCTTAATCCCCTCCCCCGAATAGTAAACCCCCTCCTACCCCCATTATTGAGAAGCCGCCATTAGAGTTATATTGTAGTATATTGGGGGTGTTTAATATTACGGGGGTAGGGGGGGGGTTTAAAATTAGGGGGAGGGCATAATCAGTCTTACTACAATCTAAGTAGGCTCTACATGCTGCGGCACTGGAGATTTTTCCCTAAACCCTAAACCCTAAACCCTAAACCCTAAACCCTAAGTCTAACTATCCGAAACCCTAAACGCCCGAATCCGACATTCGAAGCTCTACGGCCTGGCGCGCTCTTGGGCTCTTGCAAGGCTGTCTTAAAGCCTTTCATAAGGCTGTACAAGGCTTTAGGCCCTAAACCCTAAACCCTAAACCCTAAACCCTAAACCCTAAACCCTAAACCCTAAACCCTAAACCCTAAACCCTAAACCCTAAGCCGCTTAGGGCTTAGGACGGTTTGGGGTTTAGGGGCTCATCCATGGTTTCGGCTTCGGGGTGCAGACTGGAAGCTGCCGTTTTACTGGGTTCTTGTTGAGGGATGAAATTTGAAGTTACCATACAGAGACCATGCAATTCACTATAGATTCCTACTATGGTAACTTCAATTGACTCCCTTAACAAAGAACCAAGCTTCAGGATCTGTTGTCTAGAGTTGGGGTTTGAAGATATGTTGCTGCTGAGATATAGAGGCCTGTCGGTTAGAATAGGCCTGTTCTAATTTGGTTACGGCCTCTATATCTCAGCACCCCCTGAATTTATGCAGCTCCTGACCCACCCTTCGGCTTCTCTTGATTCGGGCTGGCCCCAAAAACCCAAAGCCCTAGACCCTAAAACTCTTAACCCCCCAAAATAGACCTTTTGGACCCTTAAAGCCCCTGTAAAACCCCATTGCCCAACCCCAAACTTCGAAGCGCTTGAGGCCTCTAGGGTTTAGGTTTTACTGTTTTGGAATTACGAAGGCTGGGTTTTGATTCGAGTGTTAGGGTGTGGTAGGGCGGAGGGGCTTTGAACATTTGTTGATGAAGGATTTAGGGTGGCTTGTAGGGCTTTTGCGGTTTGTAGGGGGTTAGGGTGTGCAGGACGTAGGGTTTAGTAAGCTGGCTTAAGACTGGGTTCTTGTTAAGGGATTTAATTTAAGTTACCATAATGAGGAAACGATATTATCTACTATGGATCCCTAGAATAGTAACTTAAACTACATCCCCCTAAACCCTAACCCGTAAACCCTAAACCCTTAACCCAGAAGAAGGCCAGCTCCGGCTTTGCTTGAAAGACCAAGCTTCTGTACCCAAACCACAGGGCCCTCACATGTGGAACTGCTCTCAACCGTACACCGAGACTATACTGAACTTGGAACCCGAGCAAAAATTTAATTTTTTGCTGTTTCTTAGGAAATAAAGTGCCCAAAAGTTTAAAAAATATTTCCAAGTATCCCTGAGTACACTCGAAACCCTGGCCCTAGCCCCTAAACCCTCCTTTCTTGCGAGCCTTCGTCTCGAGATGCCACGCGCCAAAGTCAGTTCTGGGACCCGGATGCAAGGTTCCAGCGCCGTGGTAGATCTGCGCAGTCTGCCCTGCCTGTGGGGCACCCAGAGACCAAACGACTGAGGAGTCTTATCCCTAAACCCTAAACCCTAAACTAACCCTAAACCCTAAACCCTAAACCCTAATCTTCCGGAAAGTGCTTGTAGCATTTCTTGCTTGAAAACACATATGCTCCGCCTCCAGGCCTTTACAAAGGTCTTTGCGTATGGGCTCTACAATGGCTTCATACAACATCTGAGGGTCCGCATCTACTGGATTTCAGTTCAGGGTTAACCCTAAACCCTAAACCCTAAACCCTAAACCCTAAACCCTAAACCCTAAACCCTAAACCCTAAACCCTAAACCCTAAACCCTAAACCCTAAACCCGGTTTTGGAGAAGGTTCACAAGTGAAGGGATCATTGAAAGCGTAGAAGACTAGCACTTGGGCTTCTAGGTTTTGTGTTTAAATATACCCCCCTTAGAACCTTAATGAAAATACTCTTCTTAGTGCCGTCTTGGGTTTTATATGAACAAAAATAAGAAGTAATTCCCAAGGGGGACTTCTGATTTAGGGACTAGCTGCATGCTGAAGACCCTAACTTTAGTTCCAGTCGGTTGGCCACAGCAAGCAGCCAAGAACACAGCTGCAAGTTACCACTTCGGTTTTACCAGGTTCCCTAGCACTCAGAATCATGGGGTTCTGGGCCATCGCAATTTTGCGCCATGGTGTCATCCATTGCAAGGGACCCTATGGAAGGGTTGTTGGCTCGGACAAGGGCTTATGTTTATGCATAAGGCGAGCAAGGTCCGAGATTTTATGTGTACTGCGGGCCCCTAATCTTGGTAGCCGAGTAACCATCTTATAATAAGGGTACCCTTTTTGGGGTTGCTCATTTTTTATAAAGGAACCCAGAACCCAAAAAGGGCAAAAGGGTGCCACTCAGCTACCAAGTAAAGCTTACGGAAGCACCTGGTGCGACACGGAGAAGTGGTTTCCATCGATCGCAGCAAGCCTCCACTCCCCGAGCTGGAGAAAGTGCTTTCCAGCCGCGATCCCCGTGCAGCTTCCCAAGATGCTTTGCACCGTTCCGCAGTGCCACCTAGACTCCCCGCAGAACCTTCATAAAGATACTATTCTGAATATCCCCGTGGGCTTTGTATAAGCAAAATACTCCCCTTAGAACCTTAATAACAAATACTTCTTCTTAATGTCCCCTTGGGTGTTTATATAAACAAAAGAAAACAATTCCCAAGGGGGACATAGCCCTTAAAAAAAAAAATAATCTGAATATCCCCTTGGGTTTTATCTAAACAAAAAACGAGAAAAGTTCCCAAGGGGGATATACAGCCACTGGGGATAGCGGTCATTCAGCGCAGCGGTCCAGTCGGTTCGCGGGCCGGGATGAAGCGAGCCCTGCTTATGGAAGATCTGAATCGTCTGCCCACCGGAGTGCGTCACGAGGAAGTGAGTTCCATCCGCATCACCGAAGCGAAACCTTCCGAACTGGATGAACCGGTCTCCGAACCTGACAGTAACACGCGGCAGGGTAGTGTTGCAGGGTGCAAAAGCATCCACAGCGCTGTGGACACGTTCCACTTCTCTAGTCCCTCTCAAGGCCTTTACGGAGAAGAGCTGTGGTTGTTGCAGGCGGCACTCTGCTTCATGTGAGATCTTAGCAACGGAGCTGTCTGGCGAGAAGCAAAGCTAGCAATCCCACTTGTAGCTCAACAGAACCCCAAAAAACCCTCACGTAGAACATACTCCAAAGCTACCTGTGTCAACACAACCCTACCAGACCCTGGCAAAGCAGACGAGATTTTTCTTCTGCCGCTTGGAGTTCCGCAAGGGCCCAGGGTTGCTTCTTGCGGCAGATGGCTCAAGGTTTACGGCTTCGGTTTTGGCCGAATGCTCTCGAGAAATATCCTGACCTTATGAAAACCAATAAAACACTTTATCCAGCTAATTATCTAGTGACATAATGCTTTACTCCACCGCGGCAGGCACCCAAACTTATGCAACAATTTGCATTGGCAGACGGACTCAAAGGGGCCAACTACTCTGCGTGGCCCACTCGTGCTTTTGTTTTGCTTTGCAGAACAAACCCTGCGCGCGGGAAAGTTTGACCCTAAACCCTAAACCCTAAACCGTTTAAAACCTAAACCCTAAGCCCTAAGCCCTAAGCCCTAAGCCCTAAGCCCTAAACCCTAAACCCTAAACCCTAAACCCCAAGCCTTAAAACCCTCCTATGGGACTTCATAGGGCTGGCTTCCTGGACTTCCGGCATCCTGAAGCCTCTCATGTAGACGTGCGTGCCCTCTAAGAAAATGCACCAGTTAACAGGGATGTTCCTAAACCCTAAACCCTAAACCCTAAACCCTAAACCCTAAACCCTAAACCCTAAACTGGGAAGCTTGTTTCTCGCGCCTGGCAGCTCACCTGTCGAAGCAAACCACTCGTGCGCAGGAACGATGCCCCTAAACCCTAAACCCTAAACTGGGAAACGATGCTGGCTTTGGAATACGCGAACTGCTGCAAGTCACTTGACTCCCCACCCCCTGACAGGGGTCCCAGCGCCTGCCCGGCTCGCAGAGTTATTATCAGATTGTCTTGAGGTCTGCTGTATTTCTCAAAGTTCTACTTTATGAAGGAACCATAAGTAAATAGTATGAGCATGTACTTGAGTGCTTGTTCGGTTCCCCGGTAGATTCCACAAGAAGCCTTAACCGTTTCTTCGCCGGGCAGCGTGATGCTGCCCGCCGGCCCAGAGCTTCGATCCCACGCGTTGAAGTCCTGGAGCTTGAGACCCTTGTGATGAGGGCTTTACGAAGGCTACCATGCATATACGTACAACATATATGTATATATATACACATACATACATACATACATACATACATACATACATACATACATACATACATACATACATGCATACATGCATACATGCATACATGCATACATGCATACATGCATACATGCATACATGCATACATGCATACATGCATACATGCATACATGCATACATGCATACATGCATACATGCATACATGCATACATGCATACATGCATACATGCATACATATACACACACACCTACATGCATATATACATATATATATATATAGATACATATTGTCCCGCCCGTGTGCCCACAGTTCTGTGTTTCGTGTCAAAGGAAAGTCTCTGACTTTTACATGCCTCGTCAAAGAAAGAACTGCACGGCAACCCCTTCCTCTTTAGCCGAAAGAGCAAACCGTGTTCCCTCGGAAGAGGCACGCTCTACCAATGGGCACCATTCTTGCAAAAACCCAAAAATCTAACATTTCGTGGAAATGCCAGAACCAATTTTTTGGATTTTTGGGTTTGGGGAACTGTTGATTCTTGGATCGTTTACGTGTGGAACGTGTATGTATGTATGCATGTACGTATGTATATATATATATTATAAAGCAGGATACACACATACATAGAATTTTCGGGTTGTCAGTATCTTCCTGAGCTCCAAACCCTGGGTGTTGAGGGTTGTAGTAGGGCTTTAGCAAGGGTTCTGTGTTTTTTGTTGAGAGCGCTTTCGCAAAAATAAGGCTTGGGGTTTGGATTTTGATTCTACACGGCTTTGGGGTACAGGCGCTGTAAGAACAAGGATTCTTATAAGCTTTCTGCAGGGATTCAGGCTTTCAGGCTACTAGGTTTTGGAATTCAGAGAAGCAGGTGCTTGATTGTGTTAAACAAGGGTGCAGGGCTGTAGGCCGCAGGCCTACGGGCTACAGCAGGAGGGTTTAGGGGTATTTAAATTTGTAAAGGGGGGTTGAGGGTGCACCAAAACTTCGAAGCCCAGCCCTGTAAACTTCAAGAGAGCTACCAAGACTGAAGATCTTTGGTTTTGAATCCTCCGGACTTAGGGATGCCAAGGATGTTCTTCTTAACTACTGTTGAGAACAAGTTGCGGTTTAGGATTTAGGGCTTTCAATGAGATCCATCCTATTCACAAACTAGGGCTGGGGGTGCCAGGAATATCGGATCCGACTACGGTGAGAGGCAGAGACAGTCTTGAGCTACAGGTTGGTCTACTCCATGCATCAGACAGACCCAGTAACGCAGTTGTCCAGTAACCTGGGGGAACTAAAGGTTAACCTTTGGGATTCTAAGGGGAGTATATTATCCCAAAAACATTAAAGGTTACCTACTCTACTAGGTTAACCCTAAAACCTCACAACACCGATTAGAACCCGCGTTAAACCACCACAAAGCATAAGCCTGTTGCGGCCAAGGGGCTGTGCGAGGCCCAGTGCGCAGAGTACCATCAGCGAGGTAGATCGTGGCTGTCTTGCCGTCCTTTTCTCATGGAGTCATGGGGTGCTTTTGGGCTTAGGGGTTAGGCGGTTTGTAAGGATTTAGGGTTTGAGGGTCTGAGGGTTAACGGTTGAAGACAAGTTCAGGGATTTTGAGGCTAGACTTCTTGTTAGAAAGCCTCAGGCTTCGGATTCGGAAGGTTCGCGGCTTGCGGGGTTTGGGTGGGCTCAGGGTTCCCCCGAACCGTCCCTCCACGCCCACAAGACAAAGCGGCGTCCCCGTACAGAACCCTTAAAGGAAACTCCCCCTTTCAGTCCTGGTGCGCAATGCTGAAGTGATCCAAATCTATCTGGCCCAGACGCCACTTCCCGATCTGAATGAATTGTGGCCCAAACGTGATCCCAGAAGGGAAGCCTCGCAAAAGGCACACGGATGGAAAATCCAGGGATGCTCCTATCTAGAATAGGGATCCTGAAAAAATCCGGGGCCCTTTGCGAAAGTATGATGACATCTCTAAAGAGTTCACAGTTTCGTGCTTGGACGTCTGAGCTGCAGAGCGTCTGGCATCTTACAGAAAGAGGCAAGAGCTGCAGGGGCTGCGTTGCTGTGAAAGCAATTCTAACCCTAAACCCTAAACCCTAAACCCTGAACCCTGAACCCTAAACCCTAAACCCTAAACCCTGAACCCGAAACCCGAAACCCTAAACCCTAAACCGCATATTGCAAGTACATGGTTTGCGGCTCTGGCTGTGGGACCAGGCTTTTTGACCTTTGGCAGCCATTATGCCCGAAACTGTAAACCTTTCTTTCTGACGCAGGGTTTAGGGTTTAGGGTTTAGGGCTTCCCCCAGCTATCTGGGGTCTTTCGCCGGTGTAGTTTCACAGTTGAACAGTCTTCTGATCCCCTTCAGAAGACCCACACTGAGAAGAATCAGACTCCCAACCTCTACTCAAAGTCTCAGCCAAACTTCAAAGTGTAACACCGAAGCTCTGAAAATTCAAGAAGACGAACCTTCAACCATCTGCCCCCAAAGATATTAAACCCGTAGCCCTAAGCCCTTAACCCTGAACTTACGAAACTCCTAAACCCTAAGCCCTAAGCCCTAAACCCCCACCTCTTTAAAACTGGCTTCCCCGCCATTTGCCCTCAAGCTGGGGCCTAGTGGTCGGCCCCAGGCATTGTAGTCCTTAGGGTTTGGGGTTTAGGGTTTTAGGGTTTAGGGTTTTAGGGTTTAGGGTTTAGGGTTTTAGGGTTTAGGGCCCCAGGCATTGCAGTCCTTCGTTGTGCCCAAGGTTTACTCCGGCTTGGTGTTTTAGTGTTTCGGTGTTGAGGGTGTAAGTTAGAGTTGAAGGTTCCAATTAGGGTTTAGGGTTTAGGGTTTAGGGATAAACATAATGTTTTTAATACCCTCTTGGATTTCATATAACCAGTTAGCTAGTTTCAGGTGCAAGGTTCAGGTTCAAGGCTTGGGGTTCAGGCTCCAGCCGACACTAGACAGGGTCATCGGCCGGTTGCACCTCCGGTTTAGGGTTTAGGGCTTAGGGCCAAAATTCTGTGTACAAGGACTCTAATACAGGGGCCTTAATTATTAGAAGAAGGTGCTGGGGTATACTATACTATAATTTGAGCAAGGAACCCACAAACCCTATTCTAATCATTAAGGCCCCTACACTATACCGGTCCCATTCACGTTTGTACGGGATGTGCCAGGGTTGACTATTGGTCCTGGCTCAGAAGCTACATCCCAGCCGAGTCCTAGCGTTTGTCATATCTTATAAGGAGCTGATGGCAGTGCCTCGGAACTGACATCCAAACTGAGGTCGACCTAAACCCTAAACCCTAAACCCTAAACCCTAAACCCTAAACCCTAAAACCCTAAACCCTAAACCACTCTGCCTCCCAAGCCCCCCCGTAAGAGCTGACCGGACACGTCCTCCTCCGTCCAGTGCCGGAAGTCCCGCACAGTAGGGTTTGGGGTTTAGGGTTTAGGGTTTAGGGTTTAGGGTTTAGGGTTTAGGGTTTAGGGACTCCCACGGACACTTCCAGCGCTACGCAACAGAAAAGCCACCACGAAGAGCAAGACTGGCACACATGACATGGCCGCAATAAATACTCAACATACTTTGGGCAACATTGGGAGCGAATGCGAAAACTTTGCACCTAAAGTGATGTCTATTCCGGGATTAGGTGGCTGTGGGTACCACGAACACAAAGTAGTGAGGAATCGTTTCAATGATAAGCCCAATACATAGTCCGAAGAACATCGCAAAAAACTACAAGCAGTGCTGCTACGCCCCAAAAGCCACGCCAAAGCCAAGTGCGTAAATTTTCAGTTAACACTTTAAGTTTTTTCGCGGCACGACTTCCGACCCTAAACTCTTAACGTGGAGCCTGCTCGTACGTACCCAATGGCCCCAAACTTGTACCTCCCCTCCTGAGACTGGCCAAGTCTGTCAGGCCGGAACCCTTGAAGTCGAAAAACACAACAAATGGACCTTAATTGTAAGCCTGAATAATTAGAATAGGGTTTTGGACTCCTTGATAGTATGATTCCAATAAGAAGCCCCCACAACAGTGTTGGTAATTAGTAAGGCTCCTAGCATAACCGTAAACCCTACAAACTGACTTCTGGGACCTTTTTTCCTGCATGAAACATCAAGCCTCCATCGGCCGCATTCCATGTCTTGGTTTAGGGGTTTAGGAGAAGACTTATGTTCATGATCGATAGATAGCTAGGTAGTTCGATAAACAGATAGATAGCTAAAGAGACAGATACATCTAGACCCGGGAGTAACCTGGGAAGAAAAAGGGTACCCTTTTGGTTTTAAGGGGATTATAAGGGAACCCCAACCCTAAAAAAAGGGAAAAAGGGCCTACTCCCGGTCCTAGTAGATACGATAGATAGCTAGCTAGGTGGTAAGGTAGAGAATGGATAGAGGATGGATGGCTAGAGGAGATGGCTGCATAGTCTCCGGTTTAGGGTTTAGGGCGTTTAGGGTTTAGGGTTTGAACCGATAGCACATGCCAGAAAGACCCTGCTTTGCAGCCCAGAGTCATTCCGCGGCCCGTTGTGCACGGTCCCATCTGCTCGCCAGATTTGTGTTGTCATTCCGTCCTTTCACCCTAAACCCTAAACCCTAAACCCTAGACCCCAAACCCCAAACCCTAAACCCTCATAGTTCCCGGGCTCCGGGCCTCTGTTGAGGGCTTCGGATCCGGGCTGGGAGCCTGCAGTGTAAAGTAGGGGCCTTAAGAAGTTAGAATAGGGGTTTTTGGGGGTGTATTCTACTAGTAGGTATCATTAGGAATCCCCCCAAAAATAAGTTTGAAGAGGGTTTTTGGGGTAGGTTATATATACTATATATACTAGTAATTCGCCGCGGCGCCGGCCGAAGCGGTCAGAGCTTCCTATACGGGTTCCCCACCTCTTAAATCTATACTCCCCTCAGAACGTTAATACACAAAATATATAATAGTTCCCAAGGGGGATATAGTTCTCCCCCCCCCAAAAAAATCCTTGCACTGGCTGAGGGATTCGTCCCTCAAGCTTCTTTGTGAGGCCGGGCCGAGGCGGGCGTCGCGAAGCGTTTCAAATCATAATAGGGTTTTGGGGTAGATTCTACAAGAATTATAATAAGGAACCTCCCCCAATAGTATAGGTAGTTAATAGGAATATTATGAAATCATTATAATAAGGAACCCCCGAGAGTAGTATAGGTAATTATTAAGGCCACACTATATAAGCAAATGCGCATTGGACTCGGTAGCTACGCCTTGACTGGAGTCGTAGCTACTGGGTGTCGGGGTGTAGAACACCACGCTTTTCAAAACGAAGGGCATTCTTGGTCGAGTAGGTGATATCGGGGTAAGTCTTGACATCAGTTTAAGCTGGGAAGACACTTCCGAGAACCCCAAAAACCCGAAGTCCAATGTCTGTCTTTGCAGCACCCTAAGCCCTAAACCCTAACCCTAAACCTGAACCCTATAAGACTTGATGACAATATCAGGCGTGCAGGCTGTCCAAACACTAGCCTTCCGCACGACGATACAACCGTAAGGATCTCACGCTCAAGGGTTTTTTTCGGGATCCCTCCTGAAAAGGGGTACCCGTAAACCCTAAACCTAAACCCTAACCCCTAACCCCTAAACCCTAAACCCTCCCCTTTGCAGGTAGTCGGGTCCCGTTAAGGGTCATATAAGGTTCGCGAGAATAGGGTCCCCCCTCCAAAGGGGTTCCGAGAAACTGCACGTTCCCGTGATGCTCCTTACCATCAAGCACATGAAGCTCTGGTGGCAAGAGTCCACCCTAAGCCTATCTCCTTCAAACAACAGGCGCAAAACATGCTCAACCTTTCAAAACAAAGGAAGCCCAAAAAAAGTCAGGCTTTCCAGGAATGTGCAGAACGCGAAAACATGTTCAAGCTTGACAAAAGCGAAAAACACACAATGTGTTTAAGGTATCAAGACAACAATACCGGGACCAAGCGCAAACTATGTGGAGTTCTCCTATCCGGTTGCTCAGAATCCTGAACCTCGAACAGTGAGACCCAGCGCAGAGTCCTTGTGCGAAATCGAGAAATGCGTGGCGTCAATCGCTGCCAAACGCCAATCCCCCAGCTGGATGAAGCGATCCTCGTGGGGAGATGAGCAGGGACATTATTCTTACGGGCTCACGGTTGTTTAGTTTCATTTTAAGATTTAGGGTGTAGGGTTCTCTGCCAGGCGTACCGTCATCCAAACTCAGCAGCCCGGCACAACTTGAGTACCTTTCAGGATGGCCAATCTTCGGGCACGCAATTCGGAACTCTGCCTGACTTCCGGGGCCTTCACTTGTTCAGGAAGCAATAAAGAGATAAACCTGATCAAAAAGCGGGACGTTGAAACCCAAACCCTTAAAGCACTGAAGGCTTTCCGAAGTTTAGGGTTCAATGGAGTACTGTTTGGGATGTTTTGGGGCTTCACGAGTGCAAACTTCTTGGACACCCTAAACAGAAAGACACGGCAACGCTTCGGGAATACGTCCTCGAACCCTTCATGTGCCCGAATGTCCTGCTGGTCCTACAGAACCTGCGCACTCTAC